CACACAACTGGGAACCTGTGCTACAGGCTCTGCTGTGAAGCCACAGCCTGGCTGCTTTGTCTGCGAGGTGGGAGAACGGTGCCAACCTTCCTGGGTGGCACCTCCATGAGCCCATCCCTGAGGGAAATACCCACCACAGAGCTGTCGCACAGCCGCACTCACGCCTCCATCTGACGCCCAACTCTTCAGGTCCAGGACAGCTTCCTGCCCTGGCGGCTCTAGCGAGGTGTGACCCATCCCCACCTGACCTGTGACAGAATGAGGAGAAAAGGTTCATTTCAGCCTTTCCTCTGTTAACCAAAACCACCCAACAGGAAAGTAAGGCAAAAAGCATTACGGTCAGCCCCCCACATCCTTGGGCCGTGCACCTGCAGATTTGACCAATCACAGGGATCCGAAGACTTGGAAAGAAAAAGGGTCTGTACCGTACATGTACCAATTTTTTTTTTCATCATTCCCTGAACAACACCATCTATAACAATTCACATAGCGTTAACACCGGGCTAAGTACAGCAAGCCATCTAGAGCTACATAAAGCTCTCGGGAGGACGGGTATGAGTCATATTCAGGTTACATAAGAGGCTTGCGCATCTGCAGACTTGGGTACCAGCAGTGGTGTCATGCAGCCAATCCCCTGCAGATGCCGAGGGACGACGGAACCGTGTGCCCTTTCAGGGTCATCCGCAGCACTTTCCAACAAGCTACCTAAGGGCTATCGCACGTCCTGCAACAGGGGTTTTCAAAGTCTGGTGCGGGGGTCAGAAGCACCTAGCATCTTTTTAAAAATGCAACTTCTTGGGCCCCACCCAGAGCCACAGAATAAGAAACTGGGAGCTGCAGCCCTGCAGTATGTTTTACGAGCTGCCCAGGACCAAGGCGCTCTCTTAAGGAAACAGGCCTGCGCTCACAGACGTGCCTGGTGCACAATACACGCTGCGTCCGTGTTGGCGCTCAGCGTACATTGGCGCGGTGAGTAGAAAAGCATGCTGGTCTGCGAGATGAGACAAAGGACAAAGACAGAGAGACCACAGAGCTCCAGGCGGAAGCCTCAGGGCTAGAGACAGCCGGTGCCACCAAACAGACCCGGCGGCGTCGTGAGTGAGGCCAGTGGTAGTGTGGCCGTGTGGCTGACCAGCTCTTAGATGGCGCCAAGCTGTCTGGGGACAATTCCACTCTTGCAACTGAAATGACTCTGGTCTTTGCCAGCCGATACTTTCATGGGTTAAAAGTTCCAGGCCAGGGTCGGGAATATAGCTGAGTGGCGTAAGTGCCCGCCTGGCAAGCTCAAGGCCTGGAGTTCCAGGCCTATC